AATTAATTTAAAAAAAAAAAAAAGAGAGATAGCCCTCTCAAATAAACCCTGACTTATTAAAATGCCTGGACATTCTGGGGTTAACCGAATATGAAAGAGAAGCTTTTAAAGGTTTGAAGCTCTGTTGTTGAAAAAAATTTCTGATAATTAATATAATTTTCTGCCTCTGTGAGCAAATCACTTACATTTTGATGATTCAAAATCTTAGCGTTTGACCATCACTCTAAGTTTCAATTCTAAGCACATGGTGATAGAGGCCAAAAAAAAAAAAAAAAGATACTGGTGAACCTAAATTGAGTCTATACCGATCTGGGAGTTACTTTTTTATTTATTTATTTTACTGTTGTGCTTTAAGTGAAAGTTTACAATTCAAGCTAGTCTCTCATACAAAAATTTATACATACATTGTTTGGTGACCCTAATTGCTCTCCCTATACTGTGACAGCACACTCCTCCTTTCCATCCTGGATTTCCCATGTCCATTCAACCAGCTCCTGACCCTCTCTCTGCCTTCTCATCTCGCCTGTGGACAGGAGCTGCCCATTTAGTCTCATGTATCTACTTGAGCTAAGAAGCACACTCTTCACGAGTATCATTTTATGTCCCACAGTCCAGTCTAATATCTGTCTGAAGAGTTGGCTTGGGAATGGTTTTAGTTTGGGGCTAACAGAGAGTCCGGGGGCCATGTCTTCTGGGGTCCCTCCAGTCTGGGAGTTACTTTTGAGAAGTGATTCCTTGGGTGGTGATGGTTGCACAACTCTGTAAATATACTAAAAACCATTGCATTGTACACATTAAATGGGTGAATTATACAGTATGTGAATTATATCTCAAAAAAACTGTTACCAAAAAAAAAAAGCAGCAGGTAAAAAAAAAAGTGATCCCTGAGATTAACTCTCTGAGTTGTTATTTTTCTTAAAAAATAAGTCAGAAAAAAAAAATCAAAATGAGTGTGACTAATTAATCTAAGAGCTTCTTTCTATCTGGAATGTACTTTTCTTTTTAACCTAGCATATTGCGTCCCACAGCTTTTGATAAAATGACATTTTTTCTTTTATGTTCAGAAGACATATTCAAGACGAAGAACTGGAAAATGGTAGCTTCCTTATTTCTTTACTTCTTCTGAAAAATTCACGAGAGCCTCTGAGAGTTAGAGGCCCGTTTGGGTCGGCCTGGTGCCAACTACTCATCCTGCACAGACCACTGAGCAGGGAACGCACCCTCCACCAGACCCCAAGTGGATTCTGGGAGGATGCAGGCTCTCACCTCAGAGGACCAGCAGGTAATGGAAGCTCTTACCAACCCTCTGTTTCTCTGTGGTCACTTTGTGAACGGGCCCTGATTGAGTGCCTAGCCAAAAGCCAAAACCATACCAGTTCCCGTTGAGTCGACTCCAATTCATGGTGACCCCATATGTGTCAGAGTAGAACCATTCCCTATAGGGTTTTCAATGGCTGATTTTCAGAAGTAGATCATCAAGACTTTCTTATGAGAAGCCTCTATGCGAACTTGAACTGTTAACCTTTTGGTTAGCAGCCAAGTGTTTAACCATTTGTGCCACCAGGGACTCTGGACTTGAGTGCCCACACGTGCAAATTCCAGTGCCAACTGGGGTGGGGCTGGGAAATGAAAGATTCTTTTGAGTCTTCTTGCCGTCTACTTTTCCTTGACATGGAACACTCAGCATAGACCCAGAAGGCACCTCACAGAGAAACTTCAGGAAAATAAGCATATCTATAACACATGGGGTCGCCATGATTCAGAACCAACTAGACAGCAGTGGTTTATTTTTTTTAAATAACATAGTTCTGATTCACAAACTGCAAAGCCTAGGATATGTCAGAAAGACTTTACAAGATGTAGGTACCCATTGTGAAAGCCATCACAAACAAACATCAAGTGATTAATAAACATTAACGTTTGAGGAGAATATTTCAATTCTACCAAGGCTAAATCTTTTGATGACTTTTCCTTTCCTCTTTCTCAATTTTAGGAGGAGTAAGAAAACAGAAACAATTTTTAGCACGGGGTCACCTCCATATCAGCACACACAATGGATTCTCCCTCTGACTATGAGAGTAACAGATTTAAACACAAACCCACGGCAATGATAACAAAAGTCGACTGACCTTGGCCTTGTGTTTGCCGGACTGCGATTGCTATTAAGCCCATTTCCTGCGGTGTCTTAAACATCAACCTGCAAATGGTGGGAAAGACTGGTCAGCCAGAACCAGGGCTCAGGGACATGAGAACCAACAGTGCACACAGAGACGGACGCTATTTACACTCATTTGCAAATGCGTAGTTAGAGAAGGCTCAACTCCTCCGTTTCAAAACTCCGTAGAAATGTAAAGCCAGAAGGGCTATTATCCCCCCCTCTTCCTAGTCCCTGTAGTGAGAATGACTGGAAAAGGATCAAGAAAACACCATTTAATATCAAAAAAGGGTGTGTGGGGGAGGGATACATATATCTGCCTCTGCTGTTGGTCAGTTTATTTAAGACTTCTTTAGATTGTGTTTCCTCAGTGTTACGGATTGAACTGTATTCCCCTAAAATATGTATTGTAAATCCTAACCTCTATACCCGTGATTATAATTCCATTTGGGACTGGGTTGTCTTTGTTATGTTAATGAGACAGGATTAGTGACCGGTGTATCTTGAGTCAATCTCTTTTGAGATATAAAAGAGATTAACAAATCAGCAGAGCAGAGATGGGGTAAGATAGATGCCAAGACACATGGAAATCTCCAAGGAACCAGGAAGCAGAAGCTGAAGAGACAAGGACCTTCCCTCCAGAGCCAACAGAGAGCGAGCCTTCCCCTAGAGCTGGCACCCTGAATTTGGACTTCCAGCCTCCTGAACTGTGAGAAAATAAATTTCTGTTTGTTAAAGCTACTTACTTGTGGTAATTGTTATAGTAGCACTAGATGACTAAGACACTCAGAATATTCCATCAGTTCCCCTCCATGTGGTATCCCTTCTTCAAGTGACAACTTGCAATTCCTGACATTTGTTTCTACTTACAGAGCATTTCTGTCTGAACATGAGACTATAATCATAACAGAAGTTTCTGATTATTTAGGAAACCAATATGGCGGCAATAAAGCAGGTTAAAAGATACACTATCCCCTGAGAACTAATTATGTTTTAACTATAGTAAATAAATCTACACCTTCTAAGAACTCAAGAGAACCCTGGATTGTTTTAGGCTTGAGTTCTGCTTTTAAAATGGTTTCATTTAAAAGAATACAAACCTCCCTTTTGGGGATAGGCAGAAAAGCGCACTATATCTCCACCAAATGAGTCAACATTAACTTTTTTCAAAAAAGGAAAGAAAGAGGGGAAAAAAACCCACCCTCCATTGGAGAATTCCCTCCAAGCTACACTCGGTATGTTTTAACGCTGGGTTAGGACAGTTTTCCTCTTCGTTTCCAGCAGTTTCTGCTCAGGTACTGAACAGACGTAGATCATGGTAGGATTTATTAAAGTAAAAAAAATCAGGCTTGGTGTGCTGATCATACGAGAAACACCCATTTATCAGTGCAGCTGTGAGGGCCTCTTTGAAATGCTTTTTTTTTGGCCAGGGTGGTGGTGGTGAGGGGAGTATAAGGAAGAGATGGCATTTTGTATGAACATAAAGTTTCCAATAATAGTCCCCGTGCTGAGGAGAGGCACTACAGAAAGATCAAGCGATCAAGCTCTGAGTGGCTGTTCATCCTCTCCCCCAGCCTCAAGGAGCTGGGTGGAACTGTACAAATGGCTGGGACTCCTAATAGAAGGACAATACTTAAAAGCAGAGAAAAACAACACATCATGTCTCCCCTGCTCAAGTCCCCAGGTAGCACAGCCATTGTCACAGAGCTCTGGCTGCCGCCATTACCCACCACATTCGGAAGAGCCCATAGGACACCATGACTTGCTAAGAAGACCCCAGCCCCACAGAGCAGGAAGCTTAGCGGCCCAACAGCTGCTTTCCCACACGGCTGCTGGAACAAGCACAGGGCATTCTCCGTGAGCGGTCCGCCCCGCGGTTGGTGTGCCAGCCCCACTTCCATCTCACATGAAATACAGCTCCAGAAGTATTTCTCTTGGACACCATGAATAACTCATTGAGATGGAGCGTGCCTATACACTGTTGGGCTGGAAGAATAAAGCGTCCTTTTCTTGTGTTGGGGCCGGCAGAAAATTCTAAGAAGGATGCTTTGTTTATGCTGGGAGTTCACATTGTCTTCTAGGAACCTTTGCCTTCCAAAAGGTCCCAGCAACTCTTCACCTGGACTTCGACGGTTTCAGGGTCTCAGTGGGACAGCTAACAAACTTGAAGTGGGATGGAGGGAAATGATCGAGCACATTGTGAGCAGATTCCTGGGGCGCTTTTTATTCCAGGCAATCTAGGATGTTCCTTAAATAAACATGTAGACAGTAGACAGTCGTATGCTATAGCTAGTGATGGTGATGGTGGGATGGGGGTGGGGGGAGAGCAAGAAAAAGATCGGTTCAGAAACCAAATGCAGACTTCTAGAACAAAGAGAAAGGATTAAGGGAACATACGCACTAAACTGCTAGGGGTTTGGCAACAGTTAACAGGGTATATTAATGAAAAGACTGGAGTCTGTGCTGTTGAAGGCCAAGAGGAAATTCTGCAAGGAGGGTGACAGTGTGGGGAAGGACGTAATGCTTGCTTGGAGACAACTGGAGGCCGACAGATTTATTTGTGCTATCTGAGATAACTCTGGGGGCCAAACCGCACAGCTCCGGGTCAACAAAGAGCCATTTATGGATTTTGTAAAATTCTGCATTTCTGAAAATGAAGCCTCTTGAGTTTGCTTTAGCAGAAAGGAGAAACCATAAATGCATTTCCATCCTTCATTGATGATGTCCTCAAAAAAGGAAAAAAAAAAAGAGGGGTTACAGCATGACTACCTCCCTGGCTGTATATTTTCCTTCCTCGTTGGCAAAGGTTGTGGAAGAAAAGGTTTCTGTGAGTGACAGCTGAATTCATTCATCATAGCACCAAGGGACGTTCAAGAACAGCCCTCTGTTTCTGTACTGTTCTCTTCTGAGTCTGAAAAAGCTGGAGCCCCAAAAGGGCCACTTTGCAAATCAGACAGCACCCTGACCACTTTGGTTATTAGGCACACCACAGCCCTCACTGGATGTTCCGTCAAAGGAAACATCTTCCATTTCACATGGCCGTTAAAATAAAGCCTCATTGTTTTTTGTTTACGGCAATGGATATTTGTGATGGTTGCACAACATGATTGATAGTAATTGGTTTTATTGAATTGTACACGTGAAAATGTTGAATTAGCAAATGTGTTATCTATATTTTTTACAACAACAAAAGTAAAGCCTCATTAATTAAGATTAATTTAGAAAACAGGCCAGTATAAATTAGTGTAAAGTCTGAATGAATATAAATTTAAATCTAGCCCCAGTCAACCCATTTTGGGGGACTTGAACCAAAGGGAACAGCCCACATTCACCACAATGCTGTAAAAATAAAAATTTGGAATTAACCTAAGTGTTCGGTAGGGAAATGGTTAAGTAAATTATGGTATATGAAGCCAATGGAATAATTTGTAGTCATTAAAAACAACAGTTTTGGGGGGAAAAAAACAAAACTATAGTTATGGAGACTATGTAGCAACAAGAAAGAACTACGTAGAATAAATGTTAAAGAAAAAGCAGGATACAAAAATTACATATACTTATATTCCATCCATGTAGAATTCTTAAAAAGTGGAGGGCAATTTGACAAAATGATAATGGACAAAATGAAAATGACAAAATGATAAAGGCCATATTAGGATGGTTTTTTTCTTCCTATTATTTTTTAACTTTTTTTTTGGGTAATGAGATTGTTTACCTTTTAATTTTAAAATTATTTTGAATTTTTTTTGAAAAACCATGTTTTTTACATTTAGATAGAATATTTATAATTAACAATTCACAAATATTTCTAAGATTAGGACCAAAAGATATGATTTAAAAATAAATACGACAATCAATAACAGCACTCTTGATTATTATACAGGAAGTCCTCAAGTCACAACATATTTGAGTTATGACAAACCGCACTTAAGACCATCCCTTTTTTTATGATTTGTGTATTTTTTTATGTAGGTATGTATGTATTAAAATATATCTGTAGGATGTGGAGCCAACATGGCACCATAGACAGATGCACCATGCTGACCTTCTGCAGCAGAGACCTGAAAAATTAAGTAAAACAGATACAGCGTCAATCCTGGAACCCAAAGCATTAAATGAAGGGATAAAGAACTAGATCAAAGACTGAATGGAAGACGAAACTGACAGAAAACAGAGAACGAGGAGAGATACGGAGTGTGAGGTCCTCTGCTAACTAACAGCATCACCATCTTGGAACGCAGCCAGCAACAACCCCAGTCAGGGATTACGGGAAGGCAACTTCACAGAGATCCCAAGAGGAGACAGAGCACATGGTAACCAGAGAAACATGCTTTCCCACCCCTCACCCTTCTGCCCTGTACACCACTTCTACCCCTTCCTGATGGGCCACGCAGCACTGCTCGGCTACAGAACCACTGGCCTGCTGCCACGCCAGGTCCACCCTACTACCACCCGCTGGCTCCTGCTGTGCCACCCCCACTTCTTCCTTTTCTTCCTCCCTCCCACCTAGCCCTGTATGCCACCCCTACCCCTTCCTGCCAGACCACGCTGCACTGCCTCAGTGAGAGACCCACTGACCCACCAACACTCTGGGTCCACTATGTCCCCCCGCACGCCCCCACTATGCTGTCAATTTTTTTTCTTTTTACTTTCTTTTTTCCTGCCTTTTTTTTCTTCCTCCCACTTAGCCCAGTACATCACCTCCCCCCCAGTCCCACTGGCTCCTGGGTGTGCCCGGCCCCCAGTGGCCAGCCCCTACCACGCCACCATGTTTTCTTTTTCTCTTCTCTTTCTTCCTTTTCTTCTCCTTTACACCAAGCCACATACACCACTACCCGCCCCCCCACTGGCGCCCGCTGCGATGCCACAGCTAAAGACACACCAGCACACCAATGGCCTGGGTCTGCCCCACCCCATCGACTGGCTCCCACTGTGGCGACATCTTTTTTTTTCTTTCTTGTCTTCCCCCTCCCACCTAGCCCTGTAAGCCACTTCCCCACCTTTCCCATCAGACCCCAGGTTCACCTGCCCCGACCTGCAGG